CGGGTAACTACAAATTACACCCTTCAGCATGAATCTCGGATACACTTAACGTGAGCCAGGAAACCGAGAGCAGTTATACAGGATACAAACCGTGAGAGCAGGGAGTATAGCTCGATCCTGAGATCAGATAAGGAAAAGTCATTAATATACTCGCATCCGCCCCAAACGCGGCTCCCGGCAACCGACCAAAGAAATAAGCAAGTGATTAAAAGCCGAAGCGTTCAAGCGCGCCTTGCTACGATGGTACTTCTCGCATTCTTCCCAAAAGCGTGTTATATAAGCGCTTCATCTCTTAGAATCCGCCATAGATACAAGACCATAGTGATAAGGATCACCGCGGTACAATAGACAAGGCCATATAATAGCAAATTCTATGGCAAATATCTCACCCAGCAGGTTAGAACGCAAGGTGAAGGTTATTCTATAACTATCAGTAAGCCAGAAGACAGAAGTGGCCGTCGATTAGGCAGCCACAAAGTAGTATAAGTGGGCCAGGAAAAGAGTTCTAGATTCCAGGTAGCACTCCCAACACAAATAGCGTGCCGGGCATTGGGAGAGAAGGAAGAAAATATCATGGATAGTCCCTATGAAGCATCTAAAACGTGGTATACGATTAGGTAACTGTCCAAACTAAACTCCGGATGTATTCATTAGCAAAAGGATATTATGCTAACTGTGGGATGTATGAGTGTCTCGGGTCCGGAAGCAGAGTTTGGGTCTAGATTTGGATTCTTGAAAACACGACGGACCATTTAAGTCGGGTGGGAAATAACAGTGGGTTAGAATACAAAGGAGATATCTCTGGACGATGTTTCTAGGTAGGTCGGTTCGACATTCAATGAGGATGATAACAATTCTATCGAAGTTCTGCTTGCCCTACAAATTACGAGATATGTAGGTACCGTGGTCAAAATTCCAGGCCTCTTGAAGGGTAACTACACTCCGGCTAGGATTAGAAAGTATATAGAAGGGCGTTTACCAACCCAACATATGTTCAAGCAAGCCTAACCTCGGGTTAGGCATTTATCATGTCTTTGATACCTAGTGGTAAGACTGTTTATGATTAAATATCTTCCACGTGGTATGTTGACCATTGACGAGAGTCCCGCAGGCCAATTACATCGGAGCATATATTCTATCAAAAACCGATGGCTCTTATTTAAGATAATGGTACGTCATGCATTATCCAGCGGGCAGACAATGGAGCACTCGCGCCACTGGCGTCACGGACGGTGAGCAAGCTTCCGACATGGAAAATCTTTTATTTCTGCCTTCAGTCGTTGCCAACAAGCACTTCGTCAGAGATACGTCGAGCAACATTAAGCCTTCTTCAGTCCTGAGAGTACTTTATACCAATCGCTCCGTGACAGAGCAGAAGTGCGATTCACATTGTATCGTTCAATTAACCACCGTTCGGAAATAGCAGCGCGTTGCTTGAGGAAGTAGCTAATAACTTACATCTCAATTCTGAAATTACGATGAAAGAGGCGGTTATTATCTGCCCTCAGAATCAGCCATGTCGGAGTACATGATGATTATGCATAAATAACAGACTCGGCTCCCATCCTTACGCAAACGACAGTCGTATACCAGAGACATAAGCTCCACAGTGAGATACTAAACGTCCCTGACCATTCTCATAACCAACGTAGCTTGTCATTCACATTAGCTACCCTTTGATGAGTTCTATAGCTCATAGCGCGTACCATTCAGGACTGTGTATGTGGATATACAGGATCACCTAGACAATCGAACTGCACCTCCAACATACGGGCAACCATGTGACCATGTCATCAGCAAGAGTCAAGCTTTCTGTTTTCTGCAAGTTGCGTCTACCGAGCTGTTTTCGAACCTCTCGCGCTCGTTTGCGGCGATACTCCCGAATGCGACCGTGTGCGGTTATGCTTCAACTTTGTATACATAACAACTGCAACCATCCGCTTGACCCACTGGGTGGCGATCTTTTCGAACAATCCCGAGTAGGTCTACCGTTGTCACGGGATTCTCAGAGCCGATGCGCTGAGAAATCACGGGTTAGGGTTTATGATTGTTTAGCGCGACTGTATTGTTTAGTCAGTCTCTTTATGCATCAACCATACGTTTTACATACAACATCTGAAGTCGATAATGGTATATATACACAGGTAACTTGAAAATCAAACGCTGGAAAGAACGTAAGACAAATCGAAAGCACGCAGTAAAGTAACAGAAATCAATAATGGAACAGGAAACGATTTAGCACCGTTGATGTAATGCATCCGTGGCAGGGGATTTAGGATGCTGCATCATGTATTCATATCCTCCCAAAAGCCACCCATGTAGGCACATAACCGAACTCGTTTGTAATCTCATTAGGATAGTATTATGTGCCAGTCGCAGTAAGGCCGTTGAATTACGTGGCAGCTATTCCCCGCGTGTGGCAGACGATTGTCGGTGGTATCACTCGTAAGCAACGCGCACGCGTATTTAATCCGATATATGAACTCTTGATCACTGACAGCGATGCTCAGCAACGCTGTATTCCCTGGGTGTAGTAACTCTCATTCACAGAATGAAGTGGTGTGGTCGGAGAACAGGGGTATTAGGGACTAAGTTGGATTATTCGGAGATTCGTCGGGATAAGCTGGTGGAAGAACGCGATTTACAGGTCGCCTTCATTCCACTTTTGAGCCGCCTTTGCTTCTGCGGCGTCTCTCTTCTTATTGCGATAAAGGAAATAACAGCAGACTCCGACCGCGATGAGGAATAAACTAAGAAATGCAATCAGTCTCCCCCCTGAGGGCACACGTAATTGCCAACACCACGGTACTTACATTCCAACGATGATGGCAGGGACACCACTCTTAGTAAAGTTGCTCACAGGCTTCTCGCAGGCGGCCGAGGAGCCGTCGTCCTCACAGTCGCGAATCCACAGGGATGATGCCATTGGAGGCATCTTGAGGGCGGATGCAGGGTGGATGGGATTGACGATCAGTGTTCGAGAACATGGGAAGAAGGAAGATTAAAAGGAAAGATCAGGGGCTGATCTGAGAACGAAAGCAGGTAGGACAATTCGAGAATTAATTAGCGCCAAACCACCGGTGGGAGTCTAATCTTATTAGCGTCTGAGCCACAGTCCAATAATCCCATTCGATTTCTCTCCGGTTTAAGGGGTTTTCCCACACTAGCCGGAATGCGGATAAGAAATGTATCTAAAATTGACATTCTGAAACAAGGGCTCCTGAACTGAAAACGGCCTTCGATCAATCGAATTCCCGCGACGTCCCAGGTCATCTGGCGCTGCCATTTGGGCAAGGTCTCTCTCTGGGTTGTGTATATGGAATACAGAGTACAACTCTGTCCTTTTTTTTTTTTCCTGTTCGTATATGTTCTAAGGGTTTTTGTCCCTATCATTACCTCTGGTAAGGTATTCATGAGGAATGCCTAGGCTTAAGCTCAAAGTAGCGAGTAGAAAACATTCTACCCAAAGTCATGAGATACACCCAATTCCCTATAAGGCTCTCGTTTCATGTTTTCTTCGGGAATACATTCTCCCCGGGCTTTATCCGTTGACAAGAGCAGGAGGAAATGCTTGTTGGTAAAAAGAATCTGGGGAAATTTCTGCGGCACGCCAAGACCCCTGGAAAAATGCAGCATTTCCCGGCAGCCTGACTCTTCTCTGATTGCTTGGAAAATCAGAGAAAGGGGGTGGGGTAACCATAATAAACATAATAATACATGAATGAATCCCATCAACTCACCCATGGTTCTTGAATTATCGCGAATACATGTTTTGTGGGCATTAAAACCTGTAGATGATACGTGTTGGCGAAAGGTGCACTCTATCCTCAATGAGAAGAATAGTAAATATTATCTCCTGCACACATCGGACCTATGTTAATCCACATACCTATACAATGGAATCAATCACATCTGTTGGCACTGAGCTGTATCCACCTTTAGCATTCCTAGCTTGTGCCTATACAAGGCTGACTCAGGGCTTTGATCGCACCTGACAGGGCCTACAAGGATTGATTGGAGGAGACGTAACAGTTCAACATCCATCTATTCACGCTTCAAAAAGCCACAGCGTTAATTGCAGGGCTATGAGCAATGGATGGTCTAAAAGTGCCATTGCATCGTGGAGTATAGGTGAATAAATTCTTTTAGCAATGGACCAGTGTCTTCTCCCACACCATCGGCTAGCTATACTACGCTCTATCCCAGAGTTCCAATAGGCACTTATGCAAGCCGCGCACATGTCATTACTCCTCAGACTAACGAAGGTCGGCGTAAACTCTCAAGTTGGAATGTATGATCTCCTGGAAGCGCCTTTCACAACCGGTGCGGGGGAAAGGGTGATCTTGGCTTGTTGAGGGTCTCCTAAAGACCCCATTTTGCACGAGGTTATTAATTACTCATGAAGTGGCAGGCATACAGGTCGCAGCTAGTTTAATCAGATCCACCATAATGACATGATTGTGATGAATATTGTACGATCCATCAAGAAGTTGGACATTCCTGATTTTCTTCTGGTATGTGTAGAAGGGCGGCGATATTGAATCATCTTTAGCCACGAGCTGTTGTGCCAAATTTTTAATATACACATCTGTGCTTATTTCATGCACTCGTGGAGACCATTTAATTTGTCTTTTTTAATCGGTCACTTGGTTATGTCTTTTGTTTGTTACTTACAAGCGTAATGATCTAGATGCAACATTTCCGTCTTCTTCATCTGGTTTTCATAGAAATACCGACCAATAATTACTATTATATATATTCGTAGGCCTCAGGATAGTGTTATCCTATCTTGTTGTCCTAGGCCTAGGGAAATCATCCACAATACAAAGGAAACAAAAATCTCAAACGGACAAAATAACCCATTTTCGTGTGCATACTAAGTAATTGGTTTAACGGCTTCTGACACGAAATACGCTGTATGATAGATACCCTCACTTAGAGGAGCATGTAGCCCTATCGACAAGTATACCTGCAGTACGTATCAAACAACAGCGACCTGTCTATTTTTCAAAACAGATCACCACACCGCGGTGTACATCCACCCAGGCACCGCGGTCCAGAAACGACCAAGTATTCTCGTCGTCCAATGTGACTTCAACCCTAGGGTCGTGCTGAAGCACGCGACAGATGGTATTATGGTGAAATTTGATGAGCTGAGCGCTTGTTGCATAGATCTTGCCGTCCTTTTCGAGATCTGAGTCGTCGAAGAGCTCTTGGATTGGATGTGGCTTGCCGTCGGTTGCGACGGAGGCTTTGGCATTTGCGCCAGACCAGTCGTTGGAAAGTTGGAGGGTCACGCTGTCTGACCAGCCATAAAAGAATGGAGTAGCGGAAGCAGAGGTGGTGAGGAGAGTGAAGAGAAGACCAACGGTAGTTGTGATCTTCATATTGGATGATTGTTGGTAACACAGCTTGGTTGGTTGGTTTTGCAATTTGAGGCTGAATGATCTAATTGCGTTGGTACTTGTTCTATCTGACCTAGGCAATTTTTGTGTGATATGGTGACTATTGCCATATATATAGCTTAGTTGACGTGTTAAGCTTCACATACTCAGAGTCAACTATATCATGAAGGCGATCCCAGACCCATAGTTCCGTGGATGAAAAACATAATAACCCGTACTGGAAGTTCTTATGGCTGCATGCGGAAGAGCGTCATGTTCAACGCATTGAATCATTCGTCGGAGTTTGAGCTGTCCGAAACAGATGGAACTTTGAGGTAAAGCTGAACTCCAATCGCCATGGGGCCGCTCTTTACTGGCATACAAATCTCCTAGAGTCATGGTGTCCACATTTGTAATGTATCCGGTCTCATATTAACCAGAGGTATCTGTCTGGAGATTCTCCGGCACCTGAAATGAAAGATTACCGTAGGCTGAGCAGTCTGTGTCCTCCGACTAAGATCACCGTGCCACTAGAAGAAAAACATATGCATACATACATACATACATACATACATACATAAATCTTGTCGTTACGTAGATATTCTAGACGTCAATTAGAGTTATCTAACGGTTTATCCGCCCGGTCCCGCGGCTGCAACCGTCGACGATTGAATCATATCCCCACTTGCGCTGAAAGCTAGAATCGGTCTTGACGTAATGGTAACGGAGTTGGTTCACTTTGTTCAAGCGTGTCATGTTAAGAGACAATTGTGATCAATAGCATGTTTCGCATTTTCTTAGTCTAAAGAATACAATCTGGCGCAGATCTGCGAATATAACGTCAAATTTGGCAGATGTACTTGTCCATAGAACGGAAAACATCCACTATCCGCTGCCAGGGAAAGTCAAAGAAACAATCATCTGCCCGGACGTTTAATACCCAGTTTTAACACCCAGTCCCTCTAGTGTTAACTCTTCTAGGTCATCATTCGAGGCGACTATAAGTGTTCAGCCATAAATCTGCACCTGAACCCAAGAACCGTGGCATACGACGTAGCGGTCATCTACAATAAAAATGGATAAAAGAGAGCGAGGTTACGCTTCACAAACAGGGTAACTTTTTCCGTGTGAGGAATGTTTATATATTAGATAAGTATTTGCACAAAGTATTCACAAATCGCTTAATAAAGATGCGCAAAGATAAATCGATCCTTTATACAAGTCCTTGCGCCAAAGAACGAAACGCTAAAGCACAAACTTAGTTGGCCCAGCAAGGCTGGGGCTCCTTGGTCTCAACGACGTGAGCAGCAATGCCAACGCAGTCCTTGTTGCCACCGGGGTTAGCGACACCAGAGGAGGCCCAGATGCTGTAGCCATCGGCACCGGGGCAGGCGATGGGGCTGGATCCGTCGAACAGGAGGTGGCCATCCTGGATAGACCAGCCCTTGCGCTCGGCGTTCTTGGGAGTGGGCTGGGCACCAACGGTGTAGCCAATCTTGCCCTGGCCTGTGATATTGTTAGCTTCCGCTGCAAAGTTACTGGGGTATGGGTGGGAGGCATCACGTACCCATGCCGGAGCGGTCAACGTAGACCTCCTGGGGACGGGCAGTGTTGTCATAGATGTTGAGAACACCGTCGTTGATGTAGAAGCTGGTCTCCGGGCAGCTGGAACCCTTGTTCTGGAGGCCAGCGATGAGGCTACCCTGGGCGGCGCTGAAGGCAGAGTTCTGGACAGCGCTGCCGGACTTGATAGCAATGACGCCGAAGTACTTAGGGGCATCGGCAGCCGGGGCGGCGGCGGCAGTAGCAGCGATGGAGGCAGCGAGAGCAAGGTTCTTGAACTGCATTTTGAAAGGTTGATGGCAAACGAGTGGGTTTGTAGAAAAATGAAGGTATTTAAAACGACTGGATGGATTGATTGATTGATTGATTGATGAGAGGGATGATAGCAAGAAGAAGGGGAATGAGAACGGCTTTTTATATGTTGAGGGTGACAACCTGATCGAGTCGATGGAGTCTCTTCCAAGACATTTGATGTCAACTATTATCCGCTAGCTGCCCGCTAACTACCCACTCGAGAGATCGAAATCTTAGGAACAACAGGAGAATCCCGCAGTTGAACCGACGCCATGTTGTCATCCTGCAGAATAGATGACCTAGAGCTAAAATTAGCCGGTCCACTCCGCATTCCCTTGATTTTAGTTTCGTTTCGGTCCAAGGTCAACGATATAATTGGGGTCTTATCCATCACGTGGGGCGCTGTGCCCTCAGTTGCCACGCTCGGTAGCCCTCGGAAATCGAGGGAGCAGCCAATCGTGGAATAGAAGCCGTTAATTTAGTCGTTAAATTTAGGAGAGACAGTTGTTTCGCGGAGAACAACTGCTGCTCCACATCACAGACATTGTCTCATTCTAGCATCCGTCATTGGCTCCATAGATTGGAATTGATCCGGAGCAATGCCCTAAACATAGTAGATGAAGCGTCGATCTTCGATTAATATCCTTATTATTCTCCTCACGCCACTCAAAATTCCCCACCAGCGAAGAGGGAGGACAGGACACCGCACCTGTTGTCATGATGATGAGGGATACTTCATTACGTCCCCTCGAATAGGGGAAAAGTCATGAAGCTGTAGGCAAACCAGTAACACAGGGCGTGATTTCTACAGCCTAAGACAGGGGGGCAATAATTCAGGGCAACAATCAATAGTGGGTGCAGATCAAACCCCATTTGCAGAAACCGTTAATTTGGATACGGATACGACGGACTAATCGAAGTTCCGGACAATGGACTCCATATACGGAGCGAGATTCCGGCTGTGGCGCAGCAACAAATAGCCACCTTTCCAGAAGAAACGGACCCTCGGGAACATATTGAACCTTTCAACCGATGATACATGACTGTAGGATCGATAGACTGCAGAGCTATTGCCCAGAGCTGCATGTCTCGAAATTTGTGAGGCGCCGGAAAATGCCTCGATCCATATCGGTTAACTCCGATACATGCTTGACATCGCCAGCAGGTTCGGACGTCCTCCGTAGCTTATTCGGGAATTGGTCATTCCAACTCATGAGCTCTGCTACATTTTATTCAGGCATTAGTTCTAGCGATCAATTCGAGATCGATACAGTAAGCATTTGTCCCATTTTTGGTGCCTACCCTGCCGAAAACGGGAGCGAATGGCCGGCATATCCAACCATCAAGAGAGCATTCTCCCAATAGTTGTACGTCGGGGCCGGCTAGGCTAATCGACTTTCGTACAAGGCCCACCCATAAGTTCGCTCTTCGATTTAACTTCTCCGGTCAACTACTCCCTTGAGAGAGATGCGACACCAATAGAGTTCAGCTAGATCAGCCCTCGCCAGATTCGGCAAGATGGGGGTGCGACGGGACTATGAGAAAGGTCGAAATAATTCTTCCCCCTGGCTTAAAGCAGTCTGCTCTACCTCCTGGATCAAGTTTATTGTAGATTACCAGACGGCTCCGCACAGATCATGGGCAAGATATGTCTCTCGACTAGGACTCACGTGAAGGAATCTGATTCTGTTTAATTATATATCATCTTGTCTTAACTCACTTCCTAGGCATAACAGAGACGACACTACACCTGGAGTCGAAGTATTGTCAAGGGTCTATCGAAACTTGCATAACATTAGGCAAGAATGATGTATCCATCCCGTGTTCTATCTACAACATAGACGGTAGAAACTGTGGGAAACCTGAGTAAGATGTGGAGCTCAAGAGTAAGTCAAAGATGTCACAGGGCGCCCTCGCAATGATTGCTAGGACGGTCAAGCTCAGTGTCCATCCTTAATACACCTGAATAGGCGGGCACCACCTGTGCAGTAGATATATCCCGATCTATGCTTCTGAACACTTCCATCGTAGCACAAATGCACCGATCAGGCTATCGATTTTCCAGAAGGGTTTGAAATTCATGGTCTGGTTGAGCCTCCTGATGGCTTTAATTTCTTTTGTTCTTCTATGCTATCCTACTTGATTAAATGACTAATTTGCCTCGGATCATGTACATGAGCTCCAAGAACCAGAGTATGGCTTCCAACAGTATATATGGAGCATCTCACATTATTGTAATTATTGTTGGAATCTACCATCGTAAAATATGAGCTATCTTGATGCACATGCACAAATTATCTGTAAGTTGAGATAGGCTATCAAACGTTTAATCAACTTCGCAATATACGGATATACGAAAGCGTTGAGTCACGGGTCTGTAGATAGAAGTTCTAACGTGAGTATCGATACGACGGAGCCACGTAACAGAGATAATACCTAATTACTATTTATGATCGAGTTGTATAAAGGAGATATCTTTGTATATTAATTGTGAGAAATGACGAGACCGAATTTTTTCTACTGTAGGCAGCGCATCGGCTGTCTGGGTGTCTGCTGTCTGCCTTGTACAGTTATATATATATCTAGTCGAACTGATACAGTGCACCACTTACACTTTCACCTCAAGTTAAGATAACTTCAAACGTTGAATCGCGATTGATCGATTAAATATTGTTTTGTCCATGTGTAACTTCCTTGTTCTAGTTATGAAGAATCTATTATGGTAGATATGGAGAAATAATGGACTTATGAAGTATTCGTCATGGTGTAGCTGGAAACTGTCGCGACGAGGAAGAGTGGGTAAGCGGAGATGCGAGGAAATAAACAGGATAAGCGAAGGCATAGAGAAAAGATATGGGTAGATCATAAATAACACTTGAATTCCTTCCCAACGATAGGAAAGAACGAACAAACAGAAGCGAAAGCAATGCGGGAAATCAAAAAAATAAAATGAAAAAAGAATAATGGACTTGAGGGGAATTGAACCCCCGACTTCTCGCATGCGAAGCGAGCACTCTACCACTGAGTTACAAGCCCGAGTAACCGAAAAATTAATAATCTTTACATTAAAAGTATGTAAATGTATAAACTTTGCCGCCCTCAAACAAAAGACAAACACTGCATGCGGCCTTACTCTGGAGTAAAGCTCCACATGTAGCCCGAGACCCTTACGACCTGTTCACGGCCATAGATATGTCCTCGTGGACGACCTAACGCATCCGTTATGTGAAGTGTCCACCGAAGCACATTGCTTGCATACTTGTCACGGCAGAATCAGAATTGACGATGGTGCTGGACCTAACAAATTGCTTGATAGGCAGTTTGGTCTGATGATAAAGTGGGAAGAAGTACACGCACAATATAGCCGCTCAAGACTTGCTATAACTAAGTTTATGTATCCATGGAATGAGTTCCTATTTCAGCAACTTGCAGGCACCGTACGCGTCGAGTACCTGGGCTGCCTCGACAGAATGCAGTGGGCAAAGGCGCCAGAAGGCAAAATGAATTATCTTTAGACCTACTAAAAACCACCAGTGATCGTGCCGGATTTCCGGGTGGCGTTGATAAGCAACATTTACCAGGAACCAGAATTGGGATACAAAAGTACCGTCGCCATACCCGGGGAGTCAATGCGAAATCCACGGAGGTAGCGAAAGAAAAAAGAAAAAAAGTAAGTTTCCGCTCCGCCATCCGGAGGAGGAAATACGCACTCGTTGCCGCGGCACAACTCCGCCCTGCCCCGATCGTGGGAAAGACGGATGCAATCACGGTGGCTGTTGGTGGATTTAAAGCTTTTAAGTGGAGTATCAGGGTGGCCGATCAATGCTACCGTTAGGTTTGGCACTCCAGCTATCATTTGTTTCGCAGCCGCGATTTGCCACCGAAAAAAAAGAAAAAAAAAATAGCAAAAACCTACCCGCGCAGTATCAGCTCAGCTCACTATCCGAGGTCATGAGTGTATTCCAGAAGCTCCAGCAAACAATTAGTGGCGCATCGTTGTCGCGCTAAGATTGTTAGTGGGATGGATGGCGTGCGCCCCCCAAGCATATGGATTTCTCAACACGGGAGGTCTGGAACCAGGATTGGGTCAGATGACCCTCGAAAAGTTGTTGGCAACAAAGGAATTGCTGACACTTGTTCCACCCTGTCCATCCTGGGCAGCGACGCAGTGATTGAGAATGTTGATAGCCCTCTCAGGTGGTGTGGTTTGAGGACATCACCCAATCTTTGCTTGCAACTGTAGACGTGTCAATTGTCCGGAGGCGGTCACATTGATTAACCCTAGAATGGAGAACCCCGGATTTTAGTTCTGTTGCATGAAACTGGAAATTCCGCGTATTGACTTGAAAAAAACTTTAATCAATCGATCTAAAAGTCGGCAGAAACGATCTCAGAAAGGAAAAGAAAGCTACCCCTGGCGAATTAAATTATTAATAAGCCCCCCTTATTAATTAGTTAGCATCGTGGGTTTGCAGAGTCGGGGAGCCATGGGTCGCGATCTCCGGGCGGTGAGAGAGGGCTTTCAGAGCTACAATACAAATCAAGATAGTGAAATGTAACAGAAATCGCGACATTCAACCAGAACAATCCACCCGACCCGCTCTCAACGCTATTTTGCATTGAAGCGGCGGATGACCTGGCAACTTTTGAGGAGATGGCGGTCAGGATGATCATCGCTAAGAGTTTTCTGGCATTCTCCTATCATGGTTGTCTATTTATTGCCCCATCCTCTTCTCCACTGTGGACCCCCCTGAACCATTTATTCTGGAATCCAGGCACAGAACTTTTCCCTTCTTTCTCATTTATCTATTCAAACGCCCCTCCGTGCAACGTCCGATTCCCCAACCGTTCCGATTCCCCTCTCCCTTCACCATGGCATACGACTGTTATTGCGCCATCTGCGGTGTCGGCTTCACCGGCATGCACATTGAGTCCCCGTCGGAGACCGCGATCGAACGACGAAGACGGTGGATTGAAAAGAGATGCCGGGCGCTCGAGGCCGGCCAGGACATCAGCCAGATTCCTACTGAAGAAAATGACGCCCCCGTGCGCAGCTACGATCCTCGGTTAGTCGACACCGATAACGTCTCTTGGCTCTATAAGGCATACTGCCTGGGATCGAATCCTCCCTCCGGTCCGTCGAAGACGAATAAGTACGTTCTGATACACGTTTCCGGGGAGTTAATTCCTGTCTAACATGGTGGCAGAGCGTTTATTGCTGGCCCGGGATATTATGCGGATATTGTAAGCGACACCTGAACATACTTTTGAAGCAAGCCACAGTTCGAGAAGCTTACACGCCACTTTGACAGGGAGAGCTAGTGGTGAAACCCGGCAATGGTATGTGTTACACGAGGCGGACGAACTGCAGGACCGTGGCTAATTTTATCCTAAGATCAATATCAGCCGTCGGCCCGAAAAACCTTCATGTGGTCGGTTTAGACCTCCTCGATTCGTTTCCCTGGAAGGGAGGAAAAAAAAAAAAAAACACCTATCGCTAACTCTCTTGTAGCTATGACGAGGGAACTGAAGACGCGGCTGGCCCAGTCCTCCCATTCCATTGGAGCTGTTTTGAAATTTTGACCCGAGTCCTCACGGGTTCCACCGAGATCAACACTGTCAACCTCAACGCTCTCTACGGTGTCATGTCCGCTTTAACCAACCATTCCTCCTTACATTTGAGCTACGGAGACGACATTTCACGGTCGCAGGGCCGTTACTGGGAATGCATTCCGGGTGCAGAGGTAAGCGTGACCACACCGGAGATTAAACTGCAATATCCCTAACGTATTGCCACTTCTGCGCTCAAACAGTACTGTGCCAAGAACCCAACGGATACCCCCATGGTCGATGAGCTTTTCCAAAACCTGAGCACAGATGATAAATTCAAGCGCCCTTCGCTGGAGATTGAGCTCCGGGAACGACGCCCCACCGATCCATTTGGCCAACTACCTCTAGAGATCGCACAGCAGATTTGCATGTTCTTGCCGGGAGATTCGCTGAAAGCGCTTGCTCAAGCTTCTCTCAGTGTTCAAATTATCACCCAGGATAACTCGTTCTGGAAGCGTTTTATGCAGTGGGATATGCCGTGGCTCTGGGAATTCCAGACGCTCCAGAATCAGAAGGCTGTCAACTATAAATCACTTTACCTGTGGCTGAACAAAATGTCCACTCCGCGGTACGGCATGGACGATTTGAACCTGATGGGTGTTGCCAACCGCAGACGCGTTTGGAGCGTTTGCGAACAACTTGCAAGCCGCTACAACAAAGCCACCGGCCAGGCACCAACGGAAGCGATGAAATGGGGTCGCGATTAAACATCTGCGGGGATGAGATATATAACATTCGATTGCTCCGTTTTGACTGCCGAGGTGAGCCTAGGTCTCGAATTATCTGGAACCGCTGTCTATTGAAGAGAATGCTAATGTGACCAGTCTACAGGGATTTTTGCGGGAACTACATTCAGCCATATGATACCACAGCTTCACTACTTGATTTCAACCTTTGTCTTGCTGCTTTGTCTATTTGGAGTTGATCCGGCGTTGGGCCTGGGTTGGTTGCCGATTCTCAACTTTTGCCATTATTAGCGTCAAGCATTATAGATATAGACCATCTTCCTTTTTATTCGACGAATCTATGATGAAACCCGACGATTGACTTGGTACTTGCGTTACACCTTCACATTCCACGGATCTATGTTATTTTGCTGTTCTTGGAGAGGACCAGTTCATTGTTAATAGAACGCCATGTAGTAAGACTTCACACCTAGTATTACGAGATTTAGAACTATTAATCAAGAGATTTACCTGCAAAATCACTGATGTTATTCTGTTATCAAACCAATCGATCTGTGGCGAATGTGTCGGAGAACGTTCGGAGGATTGTCGGAGTCATTGTCTATAATTACATTCCAGTCCAGCGTCACCGGAGTCATGGCCGCTCGTTAAGTTTAAGATCACATTCGATAAAATCATTGTTATTGCTAAGATCTACTAAGTAGTGTTGCCCTATCTCTAAGTAGAAACCCCGGTTGTCTTTCTGTGATTGGTCCTTGAGCTTAGTTCGACTTGTGCCTCGTAGTCTCAATCCCAACCATGGGGACTAAATCTTATGACTGAAAGATTACTGTGAAGCTTGGATTGATCCTATAAACGGGCAATCACTATTTACCTACTTCTACACTGTAGAATGTGGTTTACTCTGTAGCCCGTAGGGGCCATGGGCAATCGTGTCAGCCGTGTTAAAGCAAACCCGAAGTTTGCCCAACACCCTACGCCCTCATTGTAGCGTTCTCAGTCTAACATATTGCTCTTAGCTTAAGCCAAACATTCCGCTATAAGACAGGAATTCTGTTCCCTGGCTGACCCTAGGACAAAGGTCCTTGTAGTTGGTTCAAGTTACGGAAAGTTTTATCAGCATCCCCGACACCCTGAAACTGCACTGACGCGTATGGTATTCGAATCCCCCTGTTGAGGTTATAAAGAAATAGCATCTAGGATCCTTCAATGTAAACACTTGCATTGGGTCGGAACTTGCCGGACCACATCTGCCAAGCACGATGTGAAAGAGTTAGGTCATTTCGTCATTCTGACGGTAGGATTTCTTCAAGGTACAATTGCCGAATTCTAGGAGTAACTCTTGGTATTTATGTTAATGCTTGGCGAACTCATTAAATACACTGTTTTTAACTAACCATCCAGCGATACTGTCCATCCAAATGAGCGCACTTCAACCCCTCTTGCTTGCCGGCGGCCGCTCCTCGCGAATGGGTAGACGGAAGGAATTGCGACCCTTGGTACATGATATACCGATATATATGCATCTGTTGCGCATCTTGGACCTGGCATGTCCTCATTCATCTATCGTCTATCTATCATTGCGCAGTCCAGATTGCCTGCGAGATATACTGAATGACCCACGGGTTACGGAAGTGTCCCCGGGCAAGCTTGCCATAGAGGTCGATGGCTCATCTACATTAGTACAAGTAATCTATGACCGCCCTAGTGATGATTCTCTCAACACAGAGGACGATATGGGCCCAGCGGGAGGCCTCCTAGCCGCTCATCGCTTTGATGCGCAGGCTACTTGGCAGGTCGTCGCCTATGATTACCCGTTCTTGTCCGTGTCCGCCTTGCATCACCTACAGCATGAGATGGCTGGTCCCGTTACCTGTTTCCAGAATGCAGATGGATTCTGCGAGCCTCTCTTGGGTGTCTGGACTCCCGAAGCCATGCACATGCTTGATCAGAATGTCCAAAAGGGATTCGCGGGCCAAAATCAGTCATTCGCCAGTGCTCTGGAAAGACGATCCGGCCACGGAATGATAGGTGTTTGTTCAATATGAATACACCTGCCGATTTGGATACGGTATTGAAATTGAATGGGACCACCTCGACTGTGGAATGCGACACATTGCCGCTGAGATAAATGTGTTGTTGCAGGAGTGTAATGGGCTAGATCTCAACGCATCGGGTAAATGCCAACTGAGTCGCCTTCTCCGACTTCAGAAACACCATGCGGGATCCGGATCCAGCAGTTGGCCTCGAGGAATGGTTTGATCTTGCCAGGACTATGATCTGATATGAGCTGGACCATGAGATCCTGGTCTGTGGAACCGCAAAATGTCCCCGGTCGAAACACGTCTTTCTCCATCGGCACAGTTGCGACTGGCTTACTGGAGCTGAGTGGTATCCCATGATGAATACCAAATTTGTAGTCCGCAGCCATGATATGAGCTTTATATGGCTTCTCTGGCGGTTGCAGTTGGATGGTATTCAAGTAAAGCGCTACTATGAAACGAAGACAAGCGGCACTGGCTACTGGATTTCCCGGCAAGCCGAAAAAGGCTACCTCGCTATCTACAGGAGCAGTTCCGGGTCGAGGAAGCATGGAGTAAAGCACCGGATGCCCAGGTCTCATTTCAACTTTGTGAAAAACTGTCCGTGCCTGTACGCGCTCGAGTACTGTGGGGATCATGTCGTAACGACCGGCCGAGACAGCGCCAGAACTGATGATCAGGTCATATCTGGGTCCCTGAAGACTGCGCAATAGGGCCTGTTCTATGTCTTCCGGGTGATCGGGGAGAACTCCCAAAAAGTCGACAATAGCGCCCCAATCCTCCAGCATTGCAGTGAGATACGGGCCATTGCTGTCGCTAATCCGATGAAGCTTAGAGGAGTCACCTTTTGCAGGCAATAGTTCAGATCCGGTCGAGAAGACGGCTATTCTCGGCTTGGGCAGCACAGAAAGCTCCGTGATACCGAGGGATGCCATTGCCAGGACATGGTTCGGATGGATCAGTTCTCCCTCTTTGACAATCGCATCACTTGTTCGGAAGTCCGTCGCGGCCAGCCGTCGATTCTGGTTGGGCTTGACCGGCTTGGTTACTGCAATGAAGCGACGCCCCGATCGCTCTTCGACTCTTACATCCTCATAGCGAACACAACAATCGAAGTCTTCCTGCTGGACAGTCTTGGGAAATGGGGCTCCTGTCATAATCTCCACACAAGGCGGGAAAATACCGTCACGTCCCACCTGCGAGAGAGGTTCATCTCCTGCGGCCGTGATGCCCTGAACTTCGAATGTTTTGGGATAATCCACGGTCGCATCCTGCGTCGCGGCGGAGTTCAATGCGTAGCCATCCATGGCAGACGTGTCAAACCTTGGTGTTGAGATTGGACTATAAATCATGTGTCGAGCGATGCGACCTCTTGCAGTGAATATCGAGCATGTTTCTGCTCGAGACAAGAAGACATATCGTTTGCGATGTGCTTCGGCCTCGACCAGTCGTATTGCTTCTGTGTAGGACAGGCCCATATTGCTCTTTATAAAGTTGAACTGGTACGTGTTTATTGCATCTGGTCTGTTGTTTGCGTAGAAAATATGAATTAAGGAAAATAATTGGAGAACCTGTGATTTCTTGTAACCCTAATTTCATAATTCTGGCGTCATCCATGGTACCTCTTCCTCTGCGTCATATACTTGATTTTTCCTTAACTTTATTATTCTCCTGGATTTGTCGCGCGTCTACTGGAGACTATAATCCGGATGTCTCTTCCTATATGATGGAAATGCAGAAGTTGTTAACATGGCGGCGTCCACGTACGAGTCTCGCGACTCTATCCAGGATGCCTACGGTGGCCGCACCCCGTACAAGCATGAATGGCCGACGCGACTTGATATGCGCGTCCTAGACACGCCGGATAAATGGGTACAAAGTGCATGTGTGTTGTGCAGGTAATTAAAGTCTTTCTCATACTTCAATTATTCATAATTGTCGGGTCCATGCTAACGCGACGCTTGCAGTAATGGTTGCGGGCTGGATATTGGGGTCAAGGATGGCCGTGTGGTGGGTGTGCGCGGTCGCCCGATCGGGTGAATAAAGGACGTCTGGGTCCGAAGGGCTTACATGGGTGAGTATTTCGGAAGCTTCTATATAGTCGGTAGAGGGACAAATGGCTCACTTGGGATATTTATAGCTGGGAGTCCATCCACCATCTGGAGAGACTGACGCACCCACTCATCCGGCGCAATGGCAAGCTCGAGCGGGCGTCGTGGGACGAAGCTATGTCGCTGATTGTGGACAAGGCGAAGGAGATACGACAGCGGTTGACCAACCATGGCATTGGGTTCTATACCTCTGGTCAACTGTTCTTGGAGGAATATTATGTCCTAGCGATGATCGGTAAGGCCGGGTTGAATACTCTCCATATGGATGGCAACACTCGCTTGTGTACGGCCACTGCGGCGGCCAGTATGCGTGAGTCCTTTGGTAGTGACGGTCAACCGGGATCTTATGGAGATATCGACTATACGGAATGTTTGTTTATCGTCGGCCATAACGTGGCAAATACACAGACGGTCTTATGGTCTCGAATACTAGATCGCCTCGACGGGGCGTCTCCTCCGAAGCTCATCGTGGTTGATCCGCGCCGGTCGGAAACCGCGAAGAAAGCCACGATTCATCTGGCACCCAAGATTGGGACTAATATGGCACTGCTTAATGGTCTACAGCATCTATTGTTCAAGAATGGCTGGATTAACGAGGAATTTGTCTCGCAGCACGTGGTGAGGTTGCAGCAGCTTGAGGCTGTAGTCGAGGAATATACCCCGGAGTATGTGATGCGAATTACCGGCGTCCCTACGACATTATTAGAAGAGGCAGCTAGGATAATGGGAACTAGCAGTAGCCTGGTATCAACTGCTCTGCAAGGAGTTCATCAATCTAACCAAGCTACGGCAGCTGCCTGTCAGATCAACAATATCAATCTGCTGCTTGGACACCTTGGGAAGCCAGGAAGCGGTATCCTTCAGATGAATGGCCAACCGACTGCTCAAAATAACAGGGAGGCCGGATGTGATGGTGAATATCCAGGGTTTCGAAATTTTCAAAACCCGAAGCATATGCAGGAGATCGCGGATCACTGGAACGTTGACTTGATTCGAATGCCGCATTGGAATCAACCTACACATAATCCAAAATATGCTTAATTACATCGAAAACGGCTCGATTGAGATGTTTTGGGTGTCGGGCACGAATCCACTGGTCAGCCTACCCAATCTACATCGTGTCCGAGACCTGTTTACCAAGCCAGACCTCTTCCTTGTCGTACAAGATATCTTCCCTACCGAGACAACAGCTGTGGCAGATGTGGTGCTGCCAGCGGCTCAATGGGCAGAGAAAACTGGATGTTTCACCAACGCTGACCAAAACATGCATCTCTCGCAGAAGGCCGTCGAGCCACCAGGAGAGGCTAAGGCTGACCTGGACATCTTCTTGGATTTCGGGCGGCGGATGGACTTTGAGAACAAACATGGAGGGCCTCTGATCCCTTATACCACACCGGAAGAAGTCTTCGATGCATGGAAAGGGATGTCATACGGCCGTCCCTGTGACTGCAGCGAGCTCACATACGAGAAGCTCACTGGCGGATCTGGCATTCAATGGCCCTGTACTAAGGAGTATCCGAACGGCAAAGAGCGCCTGTTCACTGATGGCAAATTCTTCACCGATCCAGACTACTGTGAAGACTTCGGGCATGATCTCGAGACTGGAGCGCCATGTACTCGAGCACAATATCAAGCCATGAACCCCGCTGGACGAGCCATTCTCAAAGCTGCGCACCACAAAGCACCCCTTGAAGCTCCCGATGATCAGTTTCCCTTGCTACTTTCGACCGGTCGAAACGTTTTCCACTTCCATACACGGACCAAGACAGGAAGGGCCAGGCGGCTCCAGCAAGCCGACCCACAGCCATTTGTTCGCATATCTGAAGCGGATGCGAAAGATCTCTATCTCTCGGAGGGAGAAATGGTTGTAGTGAGATCCCGGCGTGGCAGTGTAGAGCTCCCGGTGAGAATTGGGGAGATCAACGAAGGACATGTTCTTATCCCGTTCCACTTCGGCTATTTTGATTCAAAAGACCTGCGAGCGCGAGCCGCAAATGAGCTTACGGTTGGTAAGTAAATCATGGTCTTAATAAAGTCATTATCATGAAGATTCTTTGCCGCTGACTATATAAGACGAGTGGGATCCTGTTTCCAAACAGCCGATGTTCAAATCTGGCGCGGTTCGAATCGAGAAGTGCATTCAGAAGGAGGGTGGAAAAGAAACCCACTCCAAGGAAGAACAGACTGCAGCCATCAGAAGTGTTGAACAGAAGAAGGGACAAGGAGAGATGTCGGTCGCAAATGCGCCCAAGAGCCAGGATCCCGCCGACGAGCGTATCCGGCGACTGGAACTCTGGCTGGGTGCCACAAACCAGGCTCTGGAAGTCCTCAACGACATTTATAAGGATTTGATTCCGCGTCTAGTACACGACTTGGAGGTATACTCAGGACTCGAGATCATGCGTCGAATAACTCTGGGCATTCTGCGCAAGTTCAATCCAATAATCTCGAGATACCATGAGAGTCGCCAGTCCGGCCGGAAGGTTGCTGCAAACCTTCGAGATAGCCTTTTCCCTGATGTTGAAGAAGGGAGTGATGCATACGAGGCATTAGTCGCATTGCAGGCCCTAGACACCTTTCTTACATACATTGAAGGGCACCTAACGGCACTGTCGCCAGCAAGCCAGGCGCTGTGGGACGTTGAGTTTGTTGACGCTGTGGAGTTCGCTCAAAAAGGCATTCAACGACAGAAGGCGTGGGTTACCCAGCATATCAAGGTCAAAAGCCCCCAGACTTTGCTCGTTCCAGTGGCAGCACCGGGCGAACTGCATTCCGATGAGTCGACTTTGTCGGGGCATCTACGCTGCTGAGGAGACTCCTGTAGTCGAAGTGTTAATCTTACCGCACCGAGCTGTGGAGATATGCTTCTCTCTTTATGACTATAACGTCGCTTGGGTTTCGAGATTCGGGGCCTGAGAGAACCGCACTTGTATACCAATCATAGTGATATTTTTCATCAGTGGTCCGCGTTGTATAGCTAAGTGGATGGACATACCATACGGGTGAACTTCCCAATTGATTTTCCTAGATCGTTCATAGAAATGATATCATCTAGCGAAACTTCCAATCTTGGGTGGAAATAATAAATTTTAGATTTTCATAAGAAGCATGCATATATTTCAGTGCTGCGCGACTGACAAGATTGGCTTAGAGCAAAGGAATAGTAGTAGATCTTATGTGATATTGAGACATAAGGGACAAAATATTGATGTCAGATTACGTGTTGGTACTTTCTGAGCGCAGACACTGAGCCAGCTACAGATTGTACCCTCGTCCTCTGTTAGGTAGAGTACAGTATTACCATTGGATTCCTCATGCGTGCATCAATTATTTCATTTTTGTTTTTGACAGGAGACTGGTCACAATACTAGCATACAAGGGATCTACCCGGTGTAGCATATGATATGACATAACGTATATAAAAGGAGGATGGGAAAAAAAAAAAAAAAGAAGTGAAATGAGTAAAAAGTAATTGCTAGTGAGATAGAGTCAGAAGACTATCCACTGACAAGCCCTGGATCACAATGTAAGGGTATCCATGATTGAAATCGTGTCTGCAATAACAACAAATTCCTCGAGGTCATGTTGCACCGTCCACATACTTCTTGTGCAATAATCAAACAGTCGTGTCTGATCCGCTACTCTCCGATTCAGTTGTTTCATCCTCCTTCACCACGTACTGCCCCCCGCGTCGCAACATTAGTAGGGATGTTGGAATCTGTATGGCTGCGAAGGCAATCATCGCCTGATATTGATGACTATAGCTCTTCGCGAATACATCCCCAATTGCAGCCTGGAGCTGAGCCGGCAGGGCCCCGGCCGTGCTACTGTTTTCTAACAGTTGCTGTAACTGCTCCGGTGAAAGTGTACCTGCTAGTTCGCTCTTTAAGTTTCCGTACTGGATGTTAGCCGCAATTGCAAGGCCGATTGCACCCCCGAGAAAACGGCATTGATTAAGGGCGCCCGTAGCTGTTGCTGCTGGAGTGTAAGCATGTTGAAAACGAGCGGAACTAGTGGATTCAGTGGCATACCTAGGTCCCGCGTCTCGACAACGTAAGGTACTGCTAGAACACAGATCCCGATAGTGACACCAATGCCGGTGCCTGCGATAACTTCATATCCATACCCAGCACTGGGAAATGAGTCCGTTTGAGGAAGGATGGAGAAGAGTGCCATTCCCACGGTTTGTAGCACGGAACCGAAGAGGATGAGGTATACAAAGGGGATACGGCCACGAAGGCATGCAAGATTAGAAACAGCGGTGCCCACAGTTGCAAGGGCCGAGTACGGGATTAGCCGGATCCCAGCATCTACGGGCGACAACTTTTCCAGGACTTGAAAGCGCTGTGCCAAATAGACAATTATTACATTCCAAGGACAACCGCTGGCGAAGGTAATTCTGTGATGGCAAAAGAAGGACCATTAGCCTTGAAAGCAAAGGGAAAATCTTACAGCTGCATCGACTCACATAAGCATCCCCATCCAAGCTCGGTTGAATAGTAATCGTTTTGGAAATATCGGATGATAACCAGGACGTCCATCGATCGCCCATTCCCAAGCAAAGAAAGCCATCCATGATACACCTCCCGCAACGAGTAGCCCAATTGCAGTTCCAGAGGCCCACTCAAATGACAGATTAGTTTCATTCAAAACAGTGATAGGCAGTAAAGAGGCACTGAGTAGCAGAATAGCACCGACGAGATCCAGCTCTCGGAAGAGGTTGATGCTCGGTTTTAAATGGGCGATAGATTTCGATGGCACCGAGCCATGGTTCGCGGGCATGGCGATAATTAGCATTATCACGGCTACTGCTCCAGGAGGGAGGCTATTGCTCCATACATTTTGTTAGTCACGACCCGCACAGCTTTGAAGGGATGATATCATGCACGCACTTCACGTAGAAAACCCATCTCCACTCCGAATTCTGCGACAGTACGCCGCCAATGAGAGGGCCTGTCAAAGCTGCGCATGCAATGGCTATCGACAACATGCCGCCCAATAGGGGCACCTTCGACTTGGGGACAGTCTCATAGGCGCATAAGATGGTGAGCGGATAAATCCCAGCACCACCAATTCCTTGGAATGATCGACATATAATGCTGACATGTGTTTAGTACAGGCTGGCCCAGTATACCCAATGCCTCAGGTAAACCTACAGCGTGTTGACTGACGGGGATAGCCCGCATCCGAGCGAAAATGCCAAGAAGATCACCTCAGCAGCCAACAGGGTTTTCTTTCTGCCAATGATATCGCTGACCCTGGTCCAGATGGACATGAAACCTGCATCGGGGTTAGCAGAACCAGACAGAGAAAGGAAAAGGAACTTCAGACCAGTGAATGTAATGAGGAACCCAGTAATGATCCAGCTTGTTTTGCTGAAACCATTTAGGTCACTTGTGATAGCGATAAGCGAAGTGCTGACGATAGTCACTTCCAGATTGACCAAGTAAAGGCTGATCATGAGTCTAGGACCAAGATTTGTGGTTAGTCAAATAAGTTTTGCATGATTCAGGAATCGTGAATATGGCATACCCAACTATAATCAAGCACAGTCTCCATCCGTGTGGAAACTGAATTTGATACCCGGTAGGCTTCTCAGCCACCACGGTGATATTCTCTTGGCTGTCCATCTCCACAAGCTCTTGTTTAGACATGGTGGTGATTCTACTTGACCTTCCTCACGAAGATTATCTCTAGTACTCGTCTCTTATATGTGATTGTAGTACTGTCTGAATCCCACTGTCGTCCAAAATAGGAAGCAGCCTCAGCTAGTATTGTACCCACAAAAGTCCCTCTCGAAGGAGCATTATTATGCGACCATTGACGCCTCTTGGCGACTATGCAAGGAACAACGTGCTGATAGCTTGGCACGCTCTTGGCATCAAGTCTTACCCTGTATTGTTCTTGCTCGGCGTGTCCCTTCTTTTCCCATGTTTAGCCCCCATAGCTTCTATCCTCTTTCCCCTTGCGACGTAAGTGGGTAACCTGTGGGCTGGACGAGAAAAATTGTGTGCATGGCGCCATGACTCGCAGATTGCATGAGCTAGTACAGGCAATATATTGTATTCCCTAAGCAGCAACATAGATGTTTACCTCTGATTCTGTGGCAAGTGTTTAGATCGTCACATTGCCTGGCTTATTATGATACATTAGCTGCTGTTCAACTTTGCTGCAATTCGCCTCAAAGTGAGACATTTCGATTCTCAAGTGAACAATGTATACTTTCATAAGTCGGATAAACTGATCTGAGGTCATTACGCCGCTCTATTGGCATAATTTAAGTATGCTGTGGCTAAGGTTTAGGGTAACTACGTCAGATACCTGGTCCTGGCGTCACATGACTGAGCCACACCAGCACGTTTCCCAGGTCCCTTTCTCTCGCTCTCCCCTACTTGTACCGATTATGTCAAAGGCTTGACCCTTGCTGTAGAGGGTAGCTGGTTATGCCCGGTTTAGACTTGGATTCTATGCAAATCTTAGGTGTAGGCCAGGAATTTGCCTTGTTAGACGTACAATCCTTCATGATTCGATCCCCAACCAATGCACTGCCAAACACCTTAGGTTATGCATGATTGGTAGATTGTATAAGTTCTGCCCTGACATTGTTCATGCCCGATCGGGAAATAGCCTGTCTGTTGATGTAAGATTTTCATGTGCGATGAGTAGACGGGGTAATAATTTAACAAGATGTATATATATTAGCTTGCAGCGAGCTCCAAGTATATATGAGCCTGATAGGATACAGAAGTCTGAAGGCCTTCCATGATGTCGTATGCTCTGTCCTACTTAGCATAGTTGATCTATAATCAATCATGTTGGGTCAGGATGCTTTCGCTCTCGACATTCGGCCGGGGAGCGCCGAGGCTTGGCTTGAGTCACCGCTCGACGATAGAGAGCTTGTGGGAGACAGCAGTGGAGGCAACTACCAGTGTTAATCATACTACGTAGCTTTGTAATGGATCTGGATCTCTAGCTGACGAATGGGAGTAATCCTCGGGAGATACTGGTGTCAACCGGGCACCCGATGAGGGTTTGGCGTCGGAGTCCGCGGACCGCGAGCAAACTATTCACCGTCATTCTTCGTATTGAAGGACCACGGATTGCAGTGAAGAAACTTCTGCCTAGATTCTAATCCGTTGCTTCTGACCGTGGATTAATGTACGTTATACGAGCTAAGAGTAAGAAGATACTGGGAAATTTTTCTATTGGTTACAACTCTGTTATTTGCAATACACGGTTAGTTAACAGCTACCAATTCAATTTTCTTTACAAATGTATATCAAGCCCCAGTACTTGGGACATAATGCAGATATGGTCGGTAACCCATTAAGTTTTAAGAATAAGAGGACACCGGAAAATTCGATTTTATATCATACCTATCTTTCGGACCAGACATCTACAAAGTGGTCCCTCATTTCCGTTTCCTGAAAAAGTAACCCCTTTCCATTAGCGGAAGGCGGCGAATGTAGTTAAACCAATAAATTATTGTGCCATTAATTACAATACTCTATCAGTTTTGAAAAATAGCACACGGAAATCTTTGCTGACACCAATCGAGTTTTTTTGCAATAATCTAGTACATAGAAAGAGTTATAAAGACCCTAAACCTAATTAATTAGATTCCCTTCCTATATAAAACCTATGCCGTTGTCTTCAGATGTTGTAGATCGCATACCTCATGAAAATGTTTGCGAGTCCACCACCAATATGACTACCATGACAGCTCAAGGGGACTCTCCAGCGCCAACAGTGGCTGGGACATCATCACTTTCATCCGTGCAGGGACAGCGGCCAAAGGCAGACACGGACGAGTCTACTAGTGCTTCAGTACAGGCGGGTGGGCTGAGGAGCTATATCAGGATCTTTTCGTATACCGACACTGTGGGCTGCGTTCTCAATGTCCTCGCCTTGATCGGAGCCATTGGCGCAGGCAGCGCTCTGCCCCTGATGGATGTACTGTTTGGCAAAATGATCACAAACTTTAACAACTTCACGACCGGTGCAAATTCTTCAGATGAGTTTCGGTCGACAATGAATAAGTTCACGTATGTGGTATCTAGTAGAGTGGCACGTTCCTAAGCTAGGCATTGATATCAATAACCTTCCATAGGCTTTACTTTGTCTATCTCTTTATCGGCAAATTTGTGCTAGTTTATACCTGGACTGTATGTCTCCCACCCTCTTTCAAGCTTCACCCATATTAATAGGTTTAATAGTTATCGTTATCTGTCTCCGCTTTGCGAACCACCAAATCCCTACGCATTGCCTTCTTGACACACCTGCTGCGACAAGATATTGGTTTCTTCGATTCCAACGAAAGTGGCTCCTCCGTTGTGCAACTGACGACCAATGCCAACCTAGTTAACCAAGGGATCTCAGAGAAGCTGGGCTTCGCGGTGCAGGGCACGGCGACCTTTGTGGCGGCATTTATTGTAGCCTTCGTCGTGCAGTGGAAATTAACCCTAATTACAATCTGTATTGCTCCGGCCATCCTTATTGTGACCTCCATCTGTGCTAGCATTTTTGTTAAGCAGGAGAACAAAATCCTCCATGTGAACTCCATCGCTGGGGCTTTGGCTGAGGAGATTCTCGCCAGCATGAAGACTGTGCATGCCTTTTCCGCCTTTTCCAAGTTGACGACCAAATATGACGACCACGCCAAGGAAGCGAAGCGCCTGGGTCTCACACAGTCTCTCAACATGGCGATATTATATTCGGCGGAATTTTTCTGTGTCTATGCCGGATATGGCCTGGCCTTCTGGCAGGGAGTCCGCATGTATGCGAGAGGTGAGATCGATGAGCCGGGAAAAATCATCACGTAGGTGTCTAGAGTCTCGTTAGCTTCTTTGATACCCTTTGCTGACTGCCGTCCTCTCGAATGCTTCGCTAGTGTGATCTTTGCTATCATCGTAGCTGCGACGGCAATGACACAGATCGCACCTCAAATTATTCAAGTCACCAAGGCCGCGTCGGCCGCACAGAGTCTGTGGGAAGTGATTGATCGTGAATCTCCAATTGACGGACTGTCCTTGGACGGTGAACGGCTCGACAAATGTGAGGGGAATATTGAATTCTCAAATGTCTCCTTCGCGTATCCCACCCGGTCCCAGCTCACAGTCCTTAATGAGTTCACATTGTCAATCCCCGCCAACAGGACAACGGCTTTGGTTGGGCCCAGTGGTTCGGGAAAAAGCACAGTGACTGGATTGCTCGAGAGATGGTACAATACGCAGGATGGCATCATCACACTAGACGGGGTGGATATCAAAGAACTCAATATCCAATGGCTGAGGACTAACATTCGCATTGTTCAACAGGTTCGAAAGAGTCTTCTACGCTCCCAACTTCTTATTTCTTTAGTCTCATCATCTGACTCTCATTTAGGAACCCACACTCTTCAATGCCACGATCTTTGAAAATGTGGCATACGGCCTAGCAGGAACGGACTATGCCAACGCTTCAAAGCAGGATCAGATTGAGCGAGTCATTACAGCCTGCAAGGCTGCTTACGCCCATGATTTCATTGAGACCTTACCCGAAGCAAGTTTGACTTCAATCGAGGTTCCAGATTTCCTATACAACTACTGACATCTTCCGTAGAAGTACGACACTCAGGTCGGGGAGCGGGCCACAATGTTGTCCGGAGGCCAGAAGCAACGTATTGCCATTGCTCGAAGCATCGTTTCTGATCCTAAGGTGTTGATCCTCGACGAGGCTACAAGTGCATTAGATCCACAGGCTGAAAAGATTGTGCAAGAGGCCTTAGACAACGTTTCTGCATCACGAACGACTATCACGATCGCGCATAAGCTGTCCACAATCAAGAAGGCAGACCAAATTGTGGTCCTTTCGCAAGGGCAGATCGTTGAGAAAGGAACCCATGACGAGCTGCAGGCTGCAGGAGGAACTTACCAGCGCCTCATCAAGGCGCAGGACCTTGGTACGGTTGTCAACGATGGAACCCAGCCCGAGAAGGAAAGGAATGAGAAAAGCACTGGTATCACCCAGGTCCTTTCTGGGCCACAGGACTATAACAAAGAAGCCAAGCTTGTGGGAAGATTAAAGGCTCCGTCTGGACATGGCCGTAGTCTGATTCGGTGTCTGGCTGTACTGCTCCGGGAGCGCCGCGAACTATGGTTTGAGTTCATTGTCACATTTGTTACCTGTGTTGTGGGAGGTACGCGTATCCCTATCCTGCGATGTGTTTCTCACTCTAATGATGAATCTAGGCGCGACATACCCTGTACTCGCGTTTATATTCGCGAGGGTGTTGGATGTCTTCCAAATACAATCCACAAGCAAGATGGTAGAAAAGGGTGATTTCTATGCCCTCATGTTTTTTGTCCTTGCTCTTGTTATTTTGGTTGTTTATGGGGTTCTGGGTTGGGTTACAAATGTGATAGCCAATGTGAGTGTCACCGAAATGTCATAGTCATTACCTCTTCTCACCACCAGGCAGTGCGTTGTGTACACGTACCGTCTCGAGATGTTCCGCAATTATATCCGACAAGATATGACCTTTTATGACCAGCCCCAACATACGACTGGCTCCCTGGTCTCTGAACTCGCTGCGAAACCTACTAGCTTGCAAGAGCTACTTGGGGTCAATATCGGAATCGTCATCATTGCCCTAGTGAATATCATCGCCAGCTCTATCCTCTCCATAGCTGTTGGCTGGAAACTGGGGTTGGCTGTACTCGCAGGGGCCATGATCCCAATGGTATTCTGTGGCTACCTAAGAATTCGCCTAGAGTTCCGACTAGACGATGCCACCTCGCATCGATTTTCTGAAAGCGCAGCACTGGCTGGTGAGGCGATGTCTGCGATTCGCACTGTTGCATCGTTGGCCATCGAACGAGTAATCTTAGAGAAATACACTGCCAAGTTGGCGGGCATTGAGCGAAAGTCCATTAAGTCGTTAACCTGGACGATGTTCTGGCTAGCCCTCACACAGTCACTCTCATTACTCTCTATGGCCTTGAGCTTCTGGTATGTATCTCCACTACTGCAATTGCTCCCTTCCCTATATCTAACTCTGCCGTAGGTATGGAGGTCGCTTGTTATCAACAGGAGAGTACTCGAGTACACGATTATACATTGTTGTGATTGGAGCTATTCTCTCCGGTGAAGCCGCTGCGTCATTCTTCATGTTCAGCACCAGTACGTTTCCTAAGGGCAATCTTCCCTGCTCCCACTGACAACCAGCAGGCTTTACCAAATCACAGGCAGCATGTAACTATATCTTCTGGCTCCGTTCTCTGCAACCTGATGTTCAAGACGGATCGTTCGACAATGCTCCCGGAGAATCAAAGGATATGGCTGCCCATGTGGCGTTGCAGGACGTTGCATTCCGGTATCCTACTCGGCCTACTCGACCGGTGTTAAACGATATCAATGTTGAGGTAAGGCCCAACTTTGGCGCAAACGCTCGGGTTATCATTATGCTGATGGGATTGATAGATAAACCCTGGCCAATTCGTGGCCTTCGTCGGACCCTCCGGCCATGGAAAATCCAGTCTCATCTCACTCTTGGAGCGATATTATAATCCAACCTCTGGAAGCATCCGACTAGATGGCTCAGATATCCGCGACATGTCTCTCGCTTCGTACCGCAGCCATTTATCGCTTGTCCAACAAGAACCGGTCCTCTACCAAGGAACCATTCGTGAAAATATTGCATTAGGCCTTGAAGCAGAGGCGGCCGAGGAACGGATCTACGAGGCCTGTCGCCAGGCGAATATTTTTGACTTCGTTTCCTCCCTGCCGGATGGATTAGCGACGCCATGTGGTTCGCGAGGAAGTCTTTTCTCCGGTGGTCAGCGGCAGCGTATTGCAATCGCAAGGGCGCTTATCCGCCGACCCCGTTTGCTGTTGTTGGATGAGGCTACGTCGGCGTTGGATACCGAGAGTGAAAGGATTGTGCAAGAGGCCTTGGATCAGGCCAAAGATGGTCGGACGACGATTGCGATCGCACACCGCTTGTCAACTATCAAGCATTCGGATCGAATCTTCGTGCTGGTCGGCGGTCGTGTGCGGGAGCAAGGGACTCATGAGGAGCTGCTCCAGCGACGAGGAATCTACTATGAGATGTGTCTAGGGCAGGCCTTGGACAAAGCAACCTAATATTGTACGTGATTGACGGACATATTGTATATATGATCGGTGTGAAGCATACCGAAAGCTAGAGTTCCACACAGCTCATGTAATGGTAATAATAAATAATCTCCTATCTCGAATGTGCCATTTTTAAACAACGAACTCTTAATCCCCTTATGGTATCTACTGAGACTTTGCCCCAAGAGTAATAAATGCCCGGTGATGCATTCACGTTCATCATGCCCTGCATGCCCCGTAAGGATGGACATGTTGTAAGCGTTAAGTGCTTTGGAAGTCATTTGATGTCGCCACCATTTCTTTTTCGATTTACTTTTTTTGAATTCTTTATCCGTTGCAAGGTAGTGTGAAGCGATGAGAACCTTTGTATGAATTTGTGTCTACAAAGGCTTTCAACTCTTACCGGTAGATTGTAGATAGTCCGTTCAATTAATTACTGTTTATTGCTTTCGCTCGCGTAGTTCTGTACAAGTGTGTTTACCCTTTACAACAACTGAAGCTCTTGTATTTATTCAATTGTCCTTGATCTTCAAGACATACTTGAGCGCACTGGCCTTTCCCTCCTTGAGGTTGGTCAGTGCTATCTGAACGCCCTGAAGACCGCCAGGGATGAGCTCATGCGGATGAGGCGTGAGCCAGCCTTCTCTAAGCCCAAGAGTGAAGAACCTCGACCAGATGTAAGCGAATTCCTTCTCGTCTTTATGGGCCCTCCCAACATCGGTGAATTCCACCCGAATATTCTCAGGACATTCCTCCGGTCCCACCGGGCTGACAACAGACATGGCGCCGCAGTCAGACTCCAATACCTGAGTGACAACGCTGAAACTGGCCTTCTCACTGACGGCGTCCAGAGCATAACGAAGCTGCTTTGTGGCTTTCCGAATAGCAGCGATCACGGCAGATTCACCTTCGCGATAGTCAATGACCACGTCACCCTTGCTCTCGTCCAGGTGACTGCGAACGAAATCTTTTCCTCGTCCGGCAACACAAATAATCGGATGGATATCGGCTTTCTGTAGCAGCTTGATAGCGAACATTCCCACAGCACTTGCAGCACCGTAAATTAGGACTCCACCCTCTGGCTTCTGAGACCATGTCTTTTCTTTGAACCACGGTTCGGGCAGCCCTAGGCGCGAGAAGAGCGCCAATGACGCGGTCATAGCAGCCAGGGGGACTGTTGCAGCTTGCTCAAAGGAAATATTATCGGGGATGTGGAACGTGGCATAATCTTCGCCGATGGCATATTCAGCATAGCTGCCATGTGGAGTCGTATAGTCGTGATAAGCTGCGACCCGATCTCCCACTTGGAATCCCGAGACACTGTCGCCGATCTGATGGACATATCCAGCGATATCATCTCCCGTATTGGCGCCATTGAAATTTTCCATCCATGCTGGGAATTTCCAATCTTTAGGGTTGGTGCCACTCGCAACGACTTTGATAAGTATCTGACCGGCTCGGGGCTTGGGAATGGACACCTGGTGAACACGGACATCCACCATGTCATTTCGGATAAACACTTGTGCTTCCTCCATTTTGATAATCAAACGATACCGCTGAGCCGTATGCTGACTAGCTAGGACGTATAGATGGATGACTTGTAACTGTTTTCTCTTATATGACGGACGTATGTACCGTAATAATCTGATTATCAATTATTGTTAAGCTAAATAACTAGGGTTTGTAAGCGACAGAAAACCCCTAATTATTGTGCTTATGGTAGGATGAATCGATGTTTCGAGATTCGTCCACCTCGTTTAGACGCCGCAGAAGAGGAAGAATCATTCGCCAAGGGCGGATTTGCTGCTCGATCTTGACCTGCATTACCTAACTTTTCAACGTTCTCCACACCAGCTAAAGATGATAATTGGCGAAGAGGTCGCCGACTCAGCGAACCAGAATGTCTCCCAGGTGGGGATGATCCACTACCAGTCACCTCCGCTATTTGCTTGACGGGCGAGATTGGAGCACCGAGTCACTGCGGGTTCTATATGGATGCGTACCTCTGGCGAAAGGGCGGGTGTCGCAGGGAAGTGTGAGATAGGATCTGAAAGTAGACATTGCTTCTGATATCGATGTGAAAGTGTTGTACTCCTGAAGAAGAGTACTGTGGTTCAAGAGGCGTGTCTATATGAAGGGCATTCGCGCTTCGACGCCTGATGTCGGTTGTGGCTATAGTGAATTACCCAGTAGGGATGTCTTAACGCTAATACAGGGAAGAATAGTGAATGTAGGAGTTATTGGAGAGTACGAGGTAATTGTTCGCTTCAGGGCGATATACTGTACAATATACTCTTAGAACTAAGAAGGATTGTTGTATGTCGATCCACTGTGGCTACCCCGAAGTATCGGACAAACCATCTAGGACTAGATAACTCTTATATATCGCCATTCGAATAGGGATACAAAACGACAATTACGCCTAGATTAATAGGCTCTACGTGAGAAAATGGATTGCATCAGCTGAAACTGAGGAGGTTGCAATTTATGAGTGACTGAAACGCGACCATCTAGACGAATTATCCATACAGAAGCCCTAAGGCATTCAGCATTTTCGTATCTTTGACCAACATAGGACTATCGTACTCCCCAGTATTCCTATAGAGGAACTTGATCCAACCACCGAATAAGCTGCTATAGTTCTACAAGACTTGCTTCAGATATTCCTGTAATTTCTCCAGGATTTGCGTTGCGATACTAGTGGAAGCCCAGCATATATCAACCGCATACCTTTGAAGCGCTAAAGATCATCATCGACAAACTGACATAGTTCACACAGCATGTAAAAAGTGTTGTTCTACCGGATGTCTTCCACATAAGCCGGGTCGTCATTTCCGATCGCAATCTAGCACCGATACGTTCCAGAATCAGGCGCTCGCCGGTGTAGCATGAGTAGCCGCAAGGGCAAATTGTGAGTCCCAGGCCCTTCTGCTTCACATTAACGAGAAGGAAAAGATCATCCACAACATGCAGACCGTGGTCAATCCGGCCTGCTCCTGTGCCACCCCGCTGGTCAACTGCCTGAGCAACGTGGCGTCAGGAATGATTTGCACTCAAGTCGCAGTAACAGGTTACCTTCAAATCATCATCCCTCGCTCTTTGAAATACATCTTCGAAAAAGAGAGGTGGGCGATCTCTTTCCAGGAAATCGAGACCAACCCCGGCGATCATGTCACGATAGGGAAGAGCAGCGATGTACCGCGACATTGCAGATTCCGGGGATATGCCTCGTAGGAAACACATGATCCACTGGGATTGAACTCGTTTCTATACGTTAGGCTGCCCAAGTGTTCAAAAATGCTAGTCTCGGTACATTCATTCAACTTTTGCGCTGCCTCCAGCTGAGCCCGCCGAAAGCCTTTCATCACGGCGTCGAGAGACACGCCCCTCAGAGTGTGGCATTGGGGTCAAAGAAAGGCTCGCAAGACCGGATATTCATCTAGGCTGCGTGTTAGAAATAGTTCAACGCAAAGTCGTAAAAGTCTTCCTCGTCGAGAAGAACGTCGAAACCACCATAGTAAAGCTGGAAAAATCGGTGCGTTCCTCCCTCAACATCCCCTCTTCTAAATCATGGCGCAGGTCATGCAAGCCTTCCAGTGCTGATAGGTTATGGCAGGGCTTACCCGTCCTGGAATCTGGTAATGGCGTTCCATGGCTGACTGAGAGCGACCACCGAAGCTCTAGTGTTATAGTCCCTTCGATGTGGAAGTGCATTTCCACTTTGAGCATGTGTTTGATGCACCCATCGTCGGTCTCGGATCAAATTCCGATATTCGCGGATGGTCCCGTTTGACAGGAATGGTTTAAATATGTTCATATTGGTATCTTTACACCAAGCTATGTCTTGCTTGGTATGAAGGAAGTGGCGGTTGTGGCCTGAAAGTGAGGAATTTGCTGCCACTTGATCATGAACAGCCAGGCATGATATACGTAGTTTGTCCCGCATAAGTTGTATGTTTGTATGGAACAGGTACACGTAGTAATGATTCATGATATGGCATGCATCACCCAGCCTGAGGAAATCTCGGACTTTATATGATTAGTTCTGCGCTGGGATAACCAGTTCCTGCAGCCTTGGGATCGTGGCGGAGGACTAGAGATTCATACCACAAGAGGGATATGCAAGTGTGCATCGACTATGACGGTATCTATGAGATCGCAGAAGAACATCGCATATCTGTGGCTACTATTCCCCAATGAGTGGGGACCAGGGCAGGGCATATTGAATGGTATTGAAGCATAGAGACTCAATTCGTAACGTGTACATGCTGCATACGGCAGTGGACTATCATAGTACGGAAGATCTTGATCCAGGCTTCCTGTTTAATTATGTATGAACTTAGAATGTGGTTCTGGATGACAGTTTGCGGCGTGACATAATTACTCTTTCTCCTCATGGACCCATCCCAGAATTCTCTTTGCCTTCTCTGTTGTGAAGAACGACTGATTACTCGACAGGTCACCACGAATCTCCGCATCTGGATAATACTTCTTCGCAAGCTCCTGGGATGGCGTATCCTGAGTCGTTGTAGGGGCCACAATATTAAAAACCTCGCATCCGTTCAATCCCTCGCCCTTTTCTACTGCCAACAAGCATGCTCTCGCCGTCGCCTGAGCACTAACCCACCCCCACAAACTCTTCACTGCGGAGCTATCCCAATTCTCCGCGTGTCCTTTTTGCGTCTCTGAGCGCGATGCGACCGCATGGATGCGCATACACGCGATGTTCATTCCGGGATACCACCGCGCGAAGGCCTTCCCCTGCATCTCTGCCTCGTCTTTCGCCAGGGCATATGCGTCTGTCGGCCGTTCCGGCGCTTCTTCGTCGATGGGGAAGTAGTCGAACTTCAACGGTCGGCTGGCATATTCGAGGCCGATAGCATTCACCGACGAAGCATAGCAGAACTTCTTGATGCCGAGCTCTGCGGCAGCTCGAAACCCGTTGAATGCCGAGTTCACATTGTTATTGTGTACCAGATCATCGCCTTTGTCTAGAGGGTTCGGAATGGCAGCTAGATGGATGACGGCGTCGCAGCCGCGGAAGGCCTCGAGCGTGGCCTTGTAGTCATTCGCAGTGTCCGCGGTTTTCATCTCTGAATTCGGTGTCCCGTCATATTCGGTGTCAGTACGGTCGACCTGGACCGTTGCATGACCAGCTTCCGATGCAGCCTTCACTACGGCCCGTCCGACAGTGCCGCGAGCACCGGTAATTGCGATCTTCATGGTGAGGATTGTTCGTGTGGATAGGTTTCTGGAGTATAGCTGGGGACCTTGACGCGGAATGATGTTGGCAAGAGAACGAAATGACATGCCCGTATATATCTATGAATTGTATGATGCTGATCTTGTCTTCGGCCAGTGACTTCGCTTTTCGTTATCCAGTTCCATGACGTGAATATGATGATGCCCAGCGCAGTCGATGTGCCATGACGCTAGCATGACGGTCTGCACCCTCTCGGTTAAATTCTCAGCTCATCATGTTGCTGTAAATGCTTTATATACAGGAGAAATGACTTAGAAAGCAAAAATCAGATCATTGTGTTAAAAGGATCATCTGTAGACTGTTCTTTCAGAGGTTGAGTAGATGACATCAGGGTTGGTGGTAGATAAGGGTTGCAGCCCTTATCCAGGTCGCTCTCGGATCAACTCTTGCTTCCGTCATTGCCCTATCAAGAAAATGCTGTCTCCATCCCGGGAATTTGAATTCTTGTTTGATATTACGGGGTATAGTAAGGAAAATATCCAAAGACAAAAGTAGGGCCCTTTGAGTCCAGTTGCTAACAAGGTTGCTCCCTTCGCGGCCAACTCACACCAAGCCAATGAATGGCGGCCACGCGGGGCGTCTATTTCAGCCGTCAGACCACGGGGTACTACGTAGGGTCCAGCTGTTGGCGTAGTGAGGGCTGAACAGTAATTAAATGCACGGACAGTGATAAAAGCCGAATTTCACGAAGGATCAGGGAGGGAAAGTTTACACCAGGAGGGGAATACGAAGTGGCCGTTTGATTGAGGCTTGCTCTCCCGACACACCATAGGCATTGCTCATGGCATCAACTTATCCTCGAGATGTGGTTGGCTGGAAAGCCCCAAAAATACCCGGCCGTCCTGCTCGTACCTTATCGCGAGATCACTCAGCATTCGGTAAAACTCCAGTGGCCAGTTCACCAATGGGGCAGCCTCGTGATACTTTTATCGACTCCGGGCCCTGCCAAGACAGCACTAGTGGCGCTCCCTACAGCAAAGAGCCCTAAACAACGATACCACTTGTCTGTTGGAAGACTCTGCGCTCTATCGGGTTCAATGGGCAGTCTCTGAAACTAGCCCAATCCCACTTCTGAGACCATGGTTGTAATGCCCAAGGAATGCTGTCATCGGAAACCTCGCCATCCCAGACACACCTTTGTTTCTTTCCAGTCCATTCTATATTTAGTCAATTTACTGTGTAGAACCTCAGTCATTGTATTTCTCGTAAGTCCATGTACAATTATAGTAACGTTGTCGGTGGATCGTTCGAAGCTTTTCCCTTTTCCCTGGCAGGCCGATCGCCCCCGTCAATATACCATTATATAGATTTTCCAAGGGTTTTGAGACATAGTGATTCACTCATCCCGCTATTTAAATATACCCTCTTCCTGTCTATCCTCTTTCCTTCCTCTCTTCTTCTTTACTACACTCGTTCCAACTTTCGATTCTCTCGTTTATACATAATACTTTTATCCTTTCGGATCCGTAATCAGTCACCATGCGTCTCTCTTACGCCGTCTCTCTCTTGCCTCTGGCTGCTTCCGTTGGAGGTTTGTCTTGCAGAAAATAATGTGACATACGGACACTTGAACTGACTCCCGCTAGCTCTCCAGGTCACTTCCCCCAAGAAGGGTGAGGATGTTGACCTCTCCAAATCCTTCACTGTGAAGTGGGATGCCGTCGAGTATGTCCATGTTTCATTTCGTTATCAACCGCACTAGCTAGTACAGCGCATACTAATAGACGCACCAGCACCGACCCCTCTTCTTTCGATCTCTACATTGTCAACAACGCCGTCTACCCCAGCGTTGAGCAGAAGATCGCCTCCGACGTTGACTCCTCCAAGGGCTCCTACGATGTCTCTGGCCTGTCTGACCTGACCAACGGGTACAGTTCCTTTCCCGATCAAGATTTCGTGTGCCAGAATCCACTAACAATTGGGTACAGCAAGGGCTACCAGATCAACTTCCTCTCCAACTCCGCCAAGAACAGCGGTATTCTCGCTCAGTCCCAGCAGTTCAACGTCGAGGGCTCTTCTGAGTCCACCTCGACCGCCACCGCCAGCGAGTCCAAGACCACCACCTCCGCTACTGGCACTTCCACCGCTACTACTGGTACTGCCTCCTCCACTAAGACTTCCTCCTCTGAGACCACTGAGACTGCCTCCTCCTCTTCCACTGGCCTCACTACCATTACCACCACCGGCACCCAGACTTCGACCGGTGTGAGCACTAACACTCTGTCGATGACAGTTTCCTCCTCCGCCCGTGCCTCTGCTTCGGCCAGCGCGTCCGCCAACAGCACCTCTTCCGGCAGCACCCCCGTCTCTACCGGTGCCGGTGTCTCTCTCGCCGCACCCGTCTCCGCCGCCGCTGGCCTCCTGATGGGTGTCTTGGCCCTCAACCTGTAAATTCGGTGAACCAGCCAAGGACCAAAACCGGCCGGATCACAACGATGTGACGGAATGCGAATGTGGGGGATAGTATGGTACATACGAATAATTTCGGAATGCCAGGGTTACTTCAATACATGATGTAATGGCCGTTAGGGGAGGCGGTTGATAGGGAACGGAACTATAGAATGTATATTTTATTTCGATTAATAGCATCTTGTCTATAGAATGCTGCCTACTGTTTGTCAATCCTTTAACCAATAGTGAAATGCAAGGATACATAAAAATTCATTCAAGACAGGAATGGTACACTGTAGCCACGCTTTTCCCAAGCTTCCGCTGATCATCTTCTCGGCGAACTGCCGGATTGACTGTTGATCTACCGTTCTCTTGTGGGTCGGTAGCTACCTGGCTGTGATTTTATCGCCACTGGGCTATTTGAGGTCTACAAACAATTGTACGATGAATAACTATATTCATCTTTTGTTCAATTGGACTGATAACAATGCAGGGTTGCATCGCTGGGCAAACAAGAATACCCTTGCTGCATCATGCCGCCACAACGGCGATGGCAAATGGGATGGGTAACAATTCGAGCCCTAAGTCCCCACTACAACGACCCCAGTCCGAGGACCCTTGCCTGACTTTTGACATTTCCAGTCCCTCGACCGAGCGAATGGGGGGATCCGTCAATATTACTCGGATAGTCAATGACGTAGAGGATTCTGATTATTCAATAAAAATACCGATATAGCCGACGGCAAGTCGAATCCGAGACAAGTGACTCGTCTAAAAGAATAGTCAAAAGATACATTTCTATTACTCAAAACGTTGAGCAAAGTAAGACCAATGTCTCAATAATGTTTCCATAAGTACTCCATATTGGAGGACTGGCGTTAGTCTGATCGCAAGAAAGCGAAAGAGAAAAATCAACCAAAAAAAATAAAAATTAAAATAAAATAAAAAAACAAAAGAAAAAGAAAAAGATAAGACCCACATGGCGTACAAAACCAGATCTTCATCCGTATGGTAAATACGGGTCATGCAATACCTTTCTTTTTTTTTTTTTTTTCCCATATTTGTTTCTCTGATTGTATTTTGGAACCCTAGTGGGTCTCACTTGGTGCTTCGGACTCCGCGGAGTCAATGGAGTTGTCCTCAATAGCGAACGACTATCGAATTTCTTGTTTGGTTTCGCCGAACTACTGCCGTCACGGGACGGGAAAAGCCCTTAAATGACCGCTTTAGGAAGAGATCCCTCTCCCGGTCCACCCAAGACTCGATAGATGAACCCGAGTATTTTTAGCGTGGCCATGACTTGAGTCGTATTGATTAATCTGATAACTGATTGGATATGTATCTTGTTTGCTGAATGAAATGTCTTATAGTAATTTGGATTTAATTGACGTGAGCTTGCTGTATTGGCATTCTTGTCACGAGAAGGAGGACTACCATTAACTAAATTAGAGAGTTTCTAAGTATTATACAATCAAGAGATTGTTTGCTAGAGTGATTATTATTCATAGATTTTGTCATCACTGAGTCAGTTGCTGTTAGTCACTGGAGAAAGAGAGAGAGAAAAAAAAAAAAAA